AAAAAAAGATACACCTAAAACACAACAACCACCAAAAGGTAAAAATAAAGAGATGGACAAAGATAAACGATGTGAACACTATTGCATAGATTACAAAAGGGCAAGAGAATGTTATGAAAATATTTATGCCAACACATTTGTAAACTCATAAAAAATAGATATATTCCTAGAAAAATATCTTAGCAAAATTGACTTAAGAACAAACAGGAAGCCTGAAAAGTCTATAACCATAATAAAAAGAACACAACAGGGCCAGATATTTTTATAAACAAGTTCTATAAAATTTAAAAAGTAACTCCATATTTATACAAATTCCTTCCCAAAATAAGACGCTGTATACTCACATGATCAGATTAGTGTAACCTTGATACCAAAACTAAAGAACAGCACAAGAAAGGAAAAGTACAGGGCAATCTCATGCATGAACATTAATACAATAATTCCTAAACAATATACTTGCAAACAAAATCCAGCAATGCGTTAAAATGTAACTCACTATGCACAAACTAGGTTTATTCCAAGAATTCAACAACAATTCATACCTTGTAACTGCCCACGAAAATAGATAAAATGGAAAAAACAATATGATCATCTGAGATAAAGAAAAGACATTTGATAAAAATCAACAACCAAATACGATTTAAAATTAAACTCCTGGCTAATTTTTAAAATCATAAAGACTATAAAGATGACCACTATACTGCTTCTATTAGTTACTGTTCTGGAAGTTCTAAAAACAAAATGAGAAAAAGAAATAAAAGGTGTAAAGATTAGAAAGAATCATAATTGTTACTATTTGCAGATGATATTATCTTTGTAGATAGCATAAAAGTGTACAAATTACTGGAATTAATTAGAATGTGGCAAAGTGATTCTTATAAGATCACTATACTCAAATCAATTATATTTCTCTATACTGTAACACAGGAAATCCCATTAAAAGGTATATCACTTACAACAATAAGACAATACAAGGTACACAGAATAAAAACAACAAAAAATATACAAGTCTCTCGTGAAGAAAATTAGAAATGTTACTGAAAAGCATTAAAGGAAACCTAAATAATGCAGAGACAGACAATGTCCCTGGATAGGAAGATACCATTATATAGATTTAAGTTCTCCTCAAACTGATGCATTGATTCAATTCAAATAAAAATTTTAACATGTTTCTTTGTGAACTTGCCAAAGCTAACTCAGAAACCCATGGGAAAAAAGAAAGAACCCCTAAGATACTTCTGAAGAGTAAGACTATGGGAGCTTGATATTAGGAATAGACAAACAAACCAGTCAACAAAGAGGAAAGCTCACATACAGATCTTTACATACACAGAAACTTGATATAACAGTGATAGCATTGCAGATCAGTGAAAAAAGGAGTATTCAATAAGTAGTGTTGAGCCAGTGCTGGTAGCTACTGCACTAGACATTAAGATCTAGATTGTTCAATATTCTTGGCTAATAAGGGCTCTGCCGGCAAACGTATTGATCACTACCAATTTCTGCAACGAGACTCCTTCTCCCCAGTCTTGTGAGCTCCATGGGAGGTATAATGGATAGCTGTCTAGGGGGCTGCAGGTATAACTCCCCTAAGCTATAGTGAAAAAAAGAGAAGAGTAAGTGGATTCTTCCCTTGAGTAAAGCTTGGTGGGAAGGTGTCTCTCCACGTGGCCTCTCCCCCAAGTGTAGCATATGGTGTAGCCAGCAGAAACGACAACTCATGCTACCACCCTCAACAGCTCTCTCTGCATCTCTGCAGAAACTCTTTCCAGCTTCAGATTCATGAGTAGAGATCCTTTTAGGAATGAGGTAGTATTTTTTCTCTAAAAAGGGTCGCATTGCCCCAGCAGTAAATTAACTGATGGAAGAAAGTAGTCTAAGAGAGATGCTTAGTCCTACACTGGTGGTACCACTTTGAGAGGAAGACAAAATAATGGCACTTTAAAAATTCAAAATCTTTGGCTTTTGGATTAAAGTGAATCAAACCTTGTATGGACCTAGAGGGCATTATGTTAAGTAAAATATGTCAGACAGAGAAAGACAAAGACCATATGATCTCACTTATAATGGAATCTAAAAAGCAAAAGAAACAAACAAACGAACAAAGCATAAACAGACCCATAAAAGCAGAGAACTGGTGGCTGCCAGAGAGAGCGTGAGGGATGGGCAAAATGGGTGAAGGGGAATGGGAGGTAAGGCTTCCAGTTATGGAATATATAGGTCACAGGAATCAAAAGTTCCGGCACAGGGAGTACATTCAAGGATACTGTAATAGTGTTGTCTGGTGACAGATGGGAGCTATACTTGTGGTGAGCACAGCATAATGCACAGAGTTGTCATATCACTATGCTGTACACCTGAAACTAGTGTAACATTGTGTGTCAGATAAACTTCAATTAAAAAATAAATAAAATAAAGTGAATGACACCCAACTTACAGGGTTTTAAAGTGTCTATAACAATCTTCCTGTAGGGGCCCCTGCGTGGCTCAGTTGGTTAAGTGTCCAACTCTTGATTTTGGCTCAGGTCATGATCTCAGAGTCCTGAGATCGAGCCCTGAGATCAAGTCCACGCTGAGCATGGAGGCTGCTTAAGATTCTCTCTCTTCCAGGGCGCCTGGGTGGCTCAGTCATTAAGTTTGCCTTCGGCTCAGATCATGATCCCAGGGTCCTGGGATCGAGCCCAGCATCGGGCTCCCTGCTCAGCGGAACGCCTGCTTCTCCCTCTCCCTCTCCCACTCCCCCTGCTTGTGTTCCCTTTCTCACTGTGTCTCTCTCTGTCAAATAAATAAATAAAATCTTTAAAAAAAAAAAAAAGATTCTCTTTCCCTCTGCCCCTCCCCCTCTCAAAAAAACCAACCCACAATCTTCCTGTATATAACAATCTTCCAAATGTTCCATTAAACCACGAAATTCAGCAAATATTCAATATGTATGCTAAATTAAAACTGTAGCCTCTAATTGGATGCAACTTCAGAAAGAAGAATATATATGCTAATAATTGGGTAAAAAGATACCTGTTCCTTATGTTGAAAACAATAACAAATTTGTAATTATTCAACTTTTATATTTTTTAAGTAGTCTTTACAACTGCTAAATTATAATACTATATTCCACTTGTGTAAAAAGTCACCACTGTATTCTCCAAATTCTCCACCAATTCTAATATACCCTCTAAGATAAGAGATTCAATGACATTTTTAGTCTCTGATGCCTTGAATAATCCCCAAAGCATTCTTTTTTACTTAGTTTATTGGATTGGAAAAGAATGCACAGAAGAGGCAGAGTGGCCTATGCAGAAAAAGTTTTGGAGAAGACATGTTTAGGTAAGTGCCACATATCAGGTGGACCTTATTTATACTTCTGGGTCTCCATTTTCTCATTTGTAAAATAAGTATGGTATTATCTGTCTTGCACATTATTAAAAGGATCAGTTACACACACAGGGATGAATAGTGTCCCCCCAAAATTCCTGTCTATCTGGAATCTGTCAGTGTGACCTTATTTGGAAAAAGGTCTTGTAGGTGGAATCAAGTTAAGATGAGGTCATACTGAATGTGTCTGGGCCCTATATCCAATGACTGGTGTCTTTATGAGAAGGGAATGTGAAGACAGAGACACAGGAATGGCCCTATGACAATAGAGGCAGAGATTAAAATGATGCTGCTATAAGCCAAGGAATGCCAAGGAGTGTTGGCAACCATCAGCAGCTAGTAAGAGGCAAGGAAGAATTCTCCCCTAGGGTCTTCAGAGAGAACGTGGCCCAGTCGAATCCTTGATTTCAGATTTCTAGCCTCTGCAACTGTGAGAGAATACATTTCTGCCCTTAGTCACCCAGTGTGTGGTACTTTGTTTCAGAGGCCATAAGATTCCCAAAACAGAAATGAAGCATTTGGCTTACCCCCCCCCACAGAGAAAACATACCACAGCATTTTGTTCTGGCTGAATAACAACAGCCAGATTCTGATCCTGTTTGACATGGAATCTCCAAGAACACATTCTAACAGTGTTGTAGTTAGGGATCACGTTTACACAGTTGACCACAACTCAGTTGAAACAGGCTTTAAAAAGGTGTGGAGGTGGGGTGAGGTGAGGAAGTGAGAGAGGAAATGAGGGGGAGTAGGAGAGTGGCGGTATTAGTGGATCTGAATTTCCCACACGGATGCAGCCAGACCTCTGGAGTTCCTGAAGGCAGGTCTTACCACCTCATTTTACTCTTCCTGTGTATTAACATCATTCTTTTCTCCAACTGTAGTCTATCTTTACCTGGCAGGTGAAAACATGACTGCCAGGAGCTCCCAAATTTTATCTTTCACAGAGTTTGTCCCCAAAGAAAGACTGTCTCCATTTTCTGGATCCCCAAGTCCAAAAAGCCCAGGGAAACACTGAGTAGCCTGAGCTGGGTCAGCTTGCACTCCTGAACTACCTGTTGCCGCTCCTTGGCTGGGCAGGTACCAGAGGGAGGGATGGATGGAGACAATCTACCCAAGGGACAGCTCTAGTTTCCTTCCTTGATAAAGAAGTCATTTCACTTTTGTTCTTTTACCCCTAATTCTGACTAAAATGCTAAACTGAAGTGAGCAACCAGAGATAGAGAAGTTAATTTTAAAGGCAGATTCAAATACAATTTGAAGAATAAGAAGTAGTCATAGATACATCATCAAGAAATGCAATACATTGATAAAGAACTTTAGTGAAGAGCCAATAAGCACATGAATCAGATGCTTTATGTAAGTTTAAATTTTCCTAGCTGGAATTAATTGAAACACAATTTCCCCTATTTAAAAGAATAAAAGAGAATATAAGAAACTAAACTGCCACTTGAAGATGTAGTTTAAAGAAATTCTTATCTTTTGGTAGTAGAGGAAATATATTTCACCAGCAATAAACATTTGACTGCCCTGTGTGGGCAGCGCACTGAGGTGCCACGAGATTGTTTCCAGAGATAATTCAACTCAATATTCAACTTTTAACTTTCTTAGAAATATAAATGATCACTTACCATGGTACTGGGGTCTCTATCAGCTCGATTTAGTTCAAAAGAATTTATTTTATGGGCACTCATTTCATCAGTATCAGCAATGATATAATGTCTAGGAGAGTAAGCATTGGACAGGTTCTCAAGCAGCCTCAGGATCTCAGTGGTGTGCCCACCTGGAAAAAATATTGGAAGGCCTAAGATTAAGAAACCCACAGTGTGGTTACCAGAGGGGAGGTGGGTGAGGGGATGGGGGAAACAGGTGATGGGGATTAAGGAGTGCACTTGTTGTCATGAGCACCTGGTGTTGTATGGTATAGTGTTCAATCACTACATTGTACACCTGAAACTAATATTACACTGTGTTAACTAACTGGAATTTAAATAAAAACTTAAAAAAAAGAAACCCTCAATGGCCATATCTATTTGACTGTGTTATACTAATGTTATGTTTTATGTATTTCTCAATAGGTGAAAGGAGCATTTGGAAACAATAATCTATGCCCTTGAATAAATACTACTTTTATATGGGGGAAGAGGATAATAACTTTATAAAACTAAAATTGGCACTAGCAGTAGGTGTTAAGGAAGGCACAAAGAAGTATGAGACACAACTCCTGTTATCAAGAAGCCTGGTGAAAAGGGGAAAGACACACAGACATTTAAAGAGTCATGCAAGACAGCATGAAAAACTTAAATGGGGGCAGAGGTGAGGCAAGCAAATGGTTATGAAAGACCAACCCTGTAAGAGGAAGGGAGATCCCTGGTAAAGGCTGAGAGGACTTGAAAGGTAAAGCTAATGGACAGATAAGAATAGGGAGGCCACTGGCCAAGAGTGGGATTATTAGGACATGAGATGGCAAGAGCTGAGATGTGTGTTCAGGGAATGGTGGGAACACTGTGAAGGAGGGTGAAATCAGATCAGGAAAGTAGCCTGGAAAATGGAAAGACGGTCACTGGGTCACTGAAGGTTTCTGTGCTGAGAAGTAATGTCAATGAGGCATGAGCACTGACCCGCAGGACTTGGGGCTTCCTAAGGAAGACTACTGTTCAGCACTGTAACCCCAGCTCCTGAGAGAGGTCTCAGCATACTACAGGTCGTCAAATATTTACCAGCTTTACCAAAAAACTGTTCAATTTTTGAAACTGTACAATCTCCAAAATTTTAATACTTCTAATTTCAAAACTATGAATTTAAAAATCGACTGTGTACACTGAGGTTTCCTCCATGGGAAAAAAAAACACCAAAGAATATCAACCTCTCATGTTAACTATATAGCATTTAAAGCAAAGCAATCAAACTTCTCTGAGCCCTATCATACCCATTTCGTTTCACTTCATACTCTCTCAGCCTCAGCCAGGTTGATGTCCTTAACATTCTTTGTATTCATCTTATTTGTTACCTCCTCCTTGCCTCTGGTCACAGTGTCCCTCCTATCTACTAAACTCTCCCCCACCAACAACTGTTGTTAGAAAGCGCTTTCAGTAGTAATACAGTGAACATATAGAAGGATAATCAAACAAAATAAGTGTGTGGTTTCTGCCAATGCACATATTTTCTTACAGTAGAAAAGGAAGGATTACTCTCTAGGTTCCAGAAGGAATTAGATATAGAAATAAAATTGGCATAGATTATGTGTGAGGAGGAATTAGAATCATACTTTATAACTTGTCACCCATCTTATTGTCTGGGGCATGTAATTTACACATCTGATTTATACTCATTTTGGTATTTTTGTTTTTAGCCTTGAGAAAATGTGGTTTGCAAAGTAGGTACTTGTTTTCACAGCTGGACCAATTAAGGATAAAAAGGATAATATCCACATTCCCACTGAAATTAAAATTTCATTATACCTGCTTTAACAGTCTTCTCTTTTTTTTAAAAGGAAACATTTACTGAATACATTCTTTAAAGATTTAACCTTGCCACGGAATAAAGTCATTAAAATGATGGGCTTTGTCTTCCATTTTACTCTTTTATTAAGATATATTCTTTGGGAACAAAATCTTCTCAGTTTTACTTAAAATATATCCAGAATCCAATCTCCTCCCCCCCCTGCATCTCCTTTGCTATTACCCTGTTCCAAGCCACATCACCCTCACATCAATTATGACCACGATTTCCTGGTCTGCTCCCCCAGCTCCGCTTGTCCATTCAAGTGTCTACATCAGTCTATTCTCAACACAGCATCCAGTGTGATCCTGTTAGAGAGAGTTGATCAATTTACCTCTGCTCAAAACCCTCCAGTGGCTTCCCTTTTCACATGCAATAAAAGGCATCTTATAATTTGACCCCTTACTTTGTTACCTCATAGACCTCTTCTGCTTCTACCTGGCTTAAGTCTATTCCAGCCACTCTGGCCTCCTTGCTGTTGTTGGGTATCTGTCATCTCCCCCGGGAGCTTTTCCTTACAATTCTGTCTAAAATGCAACCTCCTTCCCCTACCTCATAATATTTATCACCATATAATTTAATATGCAGTCTATTTATTTCTTTTGTTTTTGTCTCCCCTAACCCTTGCTCCACTAGAAGGTAAGCACGATGATGGCAGGGACTTCTGTTCATTTTGTTACTGCTGATCTTCAGTGCCTTGAAAACAGTAGGCACTCCTATAATTGAATGAATGGGTAGATGAGCATTTGGTATTAAATCTAAAATTTGCCTAAGGAAATCATATGATATTTCAAAGAAAAGTAGTAATTTTAATTGATGTTCTTTTGAAAATATGTGGTTGATTAATCATATTTTATGGAATCTAAAGATTAGACATTTTTTGGTATTCACGGTAAACACTGAAAAATGCCTTCCCCCTCCTCCAAAATTCTGGCCATGAACTATTAAACTATTTGTCTGATTACAAGTCTTCCTTTGACTTGGAAGATTCTTTGAGGTCCTTGACCTCTCCCTACCCTGAATGGTTTGAATGACAAAGGCACCACTTGCCAGACTAATTCTCAATCTTAATTTTGGTTCCCAGTCCACCAAATCTAATACTGTCAAGTGAATGGCTCTAACACCCATTCATCTATTTGTTCAAGACAGAAACCTGGACATCATTCCTGAGCCTTTCCTTCCTTCATCCCCCGCTTTCAAACCGCAAGTTCCTACTTGTTTCCCTACCTCAGTCTTTGTCAAAACATTCTCTTGACAATGCTGGCTGGATGATCTTTGTAAAAAGTTTATATTTAATTGGGTCACTCTCCACTCAAAAGTATTTTAAAAGATCCTTTGCTACCAGGACTAACAACAGTCACCATTTATTAAATGCTTATTATATGCCAAGCACTTTGCTAAACACTTTTAATATTACATTTAGTCTCTCCTCTTCTCATTCCATATTTTTCAAGGTGGAAACAGAAAGTTCAGTGAGGTTAACTAATTTGCCCAAGATCACCAGGTCAGTAAGTGGCAAAGATGTGATTCAACTCCAGGATTATGTCAATCTAGGGCCTGTGGTCCTAACCCCTACATGGTATAAAGCAGTGGAGTAGTGCCAATAATAGCTTTATAGAGCATGGTTTACAACGCCCTTTGGGATCTGCACTGGGCTTACCGCGCCACATGGAACTCAAAGCAACAGTGCCCTCCCACCTCTGGCCATTCCAAGTGCTATCAACTTCTTTTCACACCTTCCCAGTCCTCAAAGCCTCTTTGGTTCTTTCCTGGTCATCTTTCAAGTCTCAGTTTAGACATCACTTGTTCCAAGAATTTTCCTGTCTCAAGTTCAGATAAAACGGCGCCCTTCCTGAAGACTGCCATAGCAGCCTACACTTCCCAGATTATAACAAGTACACATTTTGTTTTGTTTTTTGTTTTCTGTTAGTTTTTCTGTAATCTCCTTTTCATTCACTGCTGTATCCTTGTACCTTTCACACTGCTTAACTACCTAGTCACCACTCTGTGGCAAGTAGTAGTAGTAGTCAGTTTTGTCATTTCCAGAGCTTAGCATAGTGCCTGGATTCCCCAAAGGCTCAACATATGTTAACTGAAAAAGGTAATGAGTTATACTTGAACATCAGTTTAGAACATTTGCTCATACTGTAAATATTATTCTAACTGGATACAATCTCCTAGCATTTCTAAGTGTACACAGTATATCTATCTCTGTCAGAACTTACTGTGAGGGCCTGCAGAGCTGGTAGACTCTGTTAAATTGTATTACCTGATAGGGCAGCTTGTTGCTCATATGCTGACACAATATTCTGAAATGTGTATTGTTCTATGGTCAGTAGATAACTGTTTCTAACCTCATGGATTTGTATATTTATAAATGTGACAATTCACTTTGCCTCATTTATCATCTAGTATTCGTGATTCCTAGACTAAATACAAAATGCCTAGATTAATGATGCAAACAGCTATTTTTAATCAGGAAAATTGTAAGTTAGCAACATAAGGCTTCTGCGTCCTCTCTGCTTAATAATAATTTGTTAGAATAATATACGCTACGTGGAAGCTTAATTACAGACAAGTGTAAGTTACTCATTTGTCCTTAAAAGATGCTTGGGCCGCGTCAGCAAACCAGGATTTCGCCCCTGGGCTGACCGGTTCCGGTTAACACAAAGAAACTACAAATCTCAGCATGCAATGCTCCAAAAAGTACTAAGGAGACTAGAGGGGAGAGTCGCGGTGTACTCTGGGGTTTGTAGTGACCGACCCAGGCTCGACAGTCACCGCCTCAATACTTACCGGACCCAGCCACCACCAAGAGACTGAGAGACTGACGGGGCACCAGGACCTGAGAATGGAGCACTACCCACAGCCGCAGTGCCAGCAGCGCGGCCACCGCAGCTCCCGCCGCCGCTAGGATAAGGACGCTAGCCATGCAAAGAAACGACGCATGCGTATTATCCCCCCGCGTCGCCGCTCAGAAGCAGTCAAAGTTCAAGAAGTACGGGCTCTGCGGAGACGCAAACGGGGCGTGTCGAGCCTCTTGGTGGGCGGGGCTTGTCTGCGCTAGGAGAAGTTCAGGGCGGGAGGCGGAAGTGCTGGCTCTGGGGACTTTGGTGGCTTCCCTACCGGATTCCATGCGGCTGCCTCCCAAGCATAAACTGAAATTCGGCAAGTTAAACGCAGGAGAAGTGTGATTTCCACCCGTGACGAGGTCAGGCCACCTGTGCACCTCAAAGGCTCCGGAGCTCCCAAGTTAGGAGGTGTTCCCGCGCCACTAACTTTGTGAATTCCACCTGAGGCCAATAGCATACATCGCCTTTTTTCTTCCTTCCTTCCTTCCTTTCTTTTTTCCTTTTCTTTCTCTTTCCCTTTTCTTTTCTTTCCTTCCTTTTTCAATGCCAAGGGAAAAGTTTCTGTTGCAACATGAAGACAGTACTGTGCTTGCCAGTAAAAGTTACCTTAATACAAAAAAGTAAATTTAGGGCCCTCATCAGAATCTCTTTCCCGACACTCGTGTTTTTAACTTTTCTAGGCATTTTCACAGATCTGTGCGATCAGAGTGGCCGAGGGTGATCACCTCCAATTATGCCATGATCCTGAGAGGAGTGGAAGCTCAGTGACTCAAGGTAGCAGGATAGAGAAGGCAGCGTCCTACGATTAATATTCAGTTAATTTTACTACAAAGCCAACACCTCCCCTAATCCCAGTTTTGCTTATATTCTGTTGCCTGTATAATCCACATTGCAGCAATATAAAAATACTGAGATTACAGAAGTCCCCTCACCCCAAGTGTAATTTGCCATCAGTCCCGTACAGACTGTAGGTTAGACAGCGCAAGTATATAGATGAATAAACAGGTCCTGAAAGATGAAACAACTTGCTCACTTGAAATAGTGGCAGATCTAGATTTAGAAACCAGAAATCCTAACTCTGGCATAGTATTACATTGTGTATTCCTTTTCTAAGTTCAGACTTACTTGATTATCACACTTGCCTAGAGCCTAGAATGTGTCTTTTAAAATGCAGTCTCTCAGGAGAGGCCTGGGATCAGGTTATTTAACCAATGTGTCAGTTTCTATCAGTCAAGTTTGGGAAGCATTTAGGGACGTAGCGTCATTTTCTGGTTAATGGATCTCATAGCGCTTCCCATATTGTCTCCCATTCAAATCGTCTTAACCCTACATCCTCACAATAAGGCCAAAAGGTGAATATTATTTCCCTCTTTAAGGACAAAGACACAGATTCTATAAAAGTAATATAGTTTGCCTAAGATTTCTTAGCTAGGAAGTGGTGGAGGAAGTTTATAGTTGTGGGCATAGAATTCAGTGCCTCAGATTTTGATGAAATCAGAATCCCCTGGGCTTATAAATACATAGTTCAAAGTCCAGGGATAGGGCCTCTGGCACAGTATAAAAAACAACTTAAGTATATTACAAAGGATGTAGTTTTCTTTCATCTGCCCACTCTGCCATTCCCAGCAATGGCTTCAACCTAAAACTCTCCCCTCATACTTCAAAGAAGATGTTAGCATCTCAGAAATTACATCCAGATGAGGAAATTTCTGGAGCCAAAAAGGGACATTATCTTGTCATTGGGTCTTTCTTTTTAAGGGTGAGGAAACTTTTTCCCCGAACCCCTCACAGACTTTCTTTCACACTCTCTGGCTATATTTATATCACTTACTTATTCATAAAAGGAATGAGACCTCAAAGCTGGCTGGGGTAGGGTGGAGCATGGCATACAGCTCCCTGTTGTATCTGGTTATTTGGTGGAGGGTGGGTACTGACCACAAAGGTCTCTTGGAGAAGGAAGTTGGAGGAGGGTAGAGGAGAGATGATTGTTGCTTAGGCAAATAATAGTGGTTGGATTGCTGTGAAAATATTGTGTCCCAGATGGCTTTGTAACCTGACACAGGCAATGCAGATGGCAAGCATATTAATAATTACTAGACTGCAGGTCTCGGAAGACACTCTTACATTCTCCTTTACCCCATCGCCTCACTTCAATAATTACTTGTATCTGTAGGAAATACCCGCTCGATCGCATTGGCATGCAGCTGAATGAATGGGGCTGATCAAGCATTTAGGGCTGACAGTAAATGCAGTGAATCAAAGAGGGAGGAGGAGCAGACATTGTTTAGAATTATTGGTAGAGTTATTTTGAATTAAGGCCAGGGTCAAACCGTTCAGTGTTTCTGACAAGGAAGTTGAGTGCAGAGAGGAGCTAGGTGGCAGACTGGGACAGGAACAAAGTTGGGAACTCCTAACAAAATGTCTACTGGTTTGTGACAGGCACAAAATGTGTAGGTAAGAGGTCAAGAAGCTGTACTGGATTAATCAGGAAAGGCAAGGCTGAGTGACAAGAAGCAGCAACTAAAATTTCTCTTGGGGATTAAATTGCACTGACAACACAGATTACAAATGCATGGAAGTAAATTATAGTGCTGTGAGAGCATGAAAAATGTATTAATAATTGACAAAATGAGTAATGATATTGAGCCATAGCCAATTGTAAGTAATCTGTCTGGGAAGTGATTTTTATTATCTTCTTAAATCTATTTTCTAAGCTTTTATGGCAGATATCTATTATTCATGAATATTAAAAAAGTTAAAATTATTTTGCACTATTCAGTAGGATTGTGCTTGTTCATTTATTCAACATATTTAATGAGCACCTGCTATGTGCTAGATTTAGGTACAGGAGATCTCGTATGAATAGGACAATAGCCCAGACAAGAAACTTAGACTAGAAAGATGATAGTGGAGAGAGAAGAGGGTTTGGAAAGAAGATTTGAGATACATTTTATGGATAGAGTTGTTCAGACTCATTGATGGATTAGATATTGGGGATCAAGATGGCTCCTGGAGTTTTGGCTTCAAAACTGGTTGGATGGTGTCATTTGCTAAGAATAGATGGACAGGAAGAGAAACAAGCTTTTGTGGGTAGACACAGGGGAGGAGAGGATGAAAATGAAGTGTTCTGTTTTGGATGTTAGTTTGACTAGCCTGTTAGACATCTAAGTGATTATGTCAAATAGGTAGTTTCATGTACAAATCTGAAGCTTGGGTCAGAGCTAGAGTTATAAATTTAGAAGTCAGCATATACATGGTACTGAAAGCCACGAGACTGGGTGAGATCACCTAGGGAGGAGTCTAGGTCAATCCCGTGCAATAGAACTTTCTACAACAATATGAAGGTTTTATGGCCATGTTGCTCACTATCTACATGTGTCTATTGAGCACTTGAAATGTGGGTAGTGCGATTGAGGAACTAAATCTTAATTTTACTTCATTTAAATTATTTTAAATTTAAATAGACACATGTGGCTAGTGGCTACTCTATTGGACAGCTCAGGATTGAGAAGAATATGGGGTCATTAACATTTAGCGGTCTAGTAAGGGAGATTTAGCCAGCAAGGAAGATAGAGAAGGGCAAGCCAGGGAGATAGAAGGAAAATCAGGAAAGAGTGGTGGCCACAAAAACCAAAAGAGGAAAATGATTCAAGAATGGGAGCGTGGTCAGCTATGTCACATGCTGTTCATAGTTGGGATCAGATGACTTGAAAACAAATTCATCACTGAGGAGTTAAGTGAGAGCAGCATTTCCATGGAATGGTGGTTGTGGAAGGCAGTTGGAAATGGGCAGAATGGGAGATGAAGAAAAGCAGTGTCTATAGACAATTATTTCAAGTTTTTCTTTGAAGGGGAATGGAGAAATTAGATGAGAAATGAAGGAGAATTTGGAATTGAGGAAACTTATTTTTTAAGATGGGAGTTACTGGACATATTAATTTGAATTTTAAAATGATCCAGTGGAGGAAAATTGATACAGGAGAGAAAGGGAATGAGAGAGTAGGAACAAAGTTCTTCAAAAGATGAGGGTTGGAATGTACAACACAAGTGGAGGGGTTGGGCTTTGATAGGAGGAGGGACCCTTATCCCATGGTAACAGGATATAAGGCAGGGATATAATGCAGGTGCTGGGAGGTTTACAGAATTGGTGGTGAATAGATGAGGGGAGGGTGTGGGGATATGGGGTACAGAGTGTGAGAGGCTTGAGGAGAAAGAAGTTAGGAAATAATCATCTTGAAAAGTAATTGGCATATTCACCAGGATCGGCGTAGGATTTCTGGGCAGTTTGGAATGCCCATTTGAAGCATGTGATAACAAATTTAGAGAGAAACCATTCAGCATAATTTTATGTCTTTTTCCCCACTGGAAAAGGCAGATAGTTGGCTTTAACCAAAGTTAGATTTTTGACAGGTGAATACATTAGCGAGGTAAGATTCTTAAGGGAGCAAGGTCCATGGAACTTTCTCTGGGCATAGTGGGAAGTGAAGACAGGAGGGTAAAGGTAGGAGAGTGGAAATAGTGGCAGAGTGTGAAGTCAGGGGATTGGAAGCCTAAAGAAGGTTGAAAAATTGCAATGAAAGAACTAGAGCCAGTGAACTGTAGAGATAAGAGGTGGTGGTCAGAGGGTGGGATGCTTGAAGTCAATATTGTGTTATTACTGATAGTAGTTTTTAGGGTGTCACTCTAAGAATGGATCAAAAAGATGCAGGGGCCACCACATGAATGCCAAAGTCACTAAGGGGTGGAGAGGAAGATGAGCTCAAGTTTTCAAAAAGTAAAAGTTTGGAAGATGATAGCAACCAAAAAGAACTTTGGGTATAAGCAGGATATCTTCCATTTGTCCCTCAAGATTCACTCTTCCCCACCCCACCCAGCCATGGGAGCTGAAACCTATGGATTCAATCAGCAGTTTCCTTGCTGTCTGGTTCTGGTTGGGTTTGGCCAATGAGGAGCCTCAGCAGATCTGATGTAGGGAGGCTGTGTCCCTGAATGGGGGGGAGGGGGAGGACTCTGCTCTTCAACATGGCTTCTATACCTCTCTGTCCTGGGCCCCAGAGCTCCCTTTCCTCATTCCTTCAGGCCAAGGGGTGGTGAAAGTTCCACTGTTACTAGCCCTCAGTGACTGCACTATCCCTCGTGCCTTCCTTCCCTCATTCACACCTCTGTAAATCA